TCTCTTCCCACAGTTCGAGCATTGGATCGGCCTGCCATTGGTCGACTCCTTCTTTTGATTCCCATCTTTCCCGCGCGTGCGCCCGTGGGACATCCATGGCTTCTTACCGCCTTTGCGGCTGGAGGAGGACCCGTTGCTCTCGCCGGTGTTGTCGCGGAGCTTTAGGCGTGCAAGCCATCTCCTTCCTCTGGCTCGAGAGCGTGCCATAACCCTTGCGCCTGTAGGTTAAGGCGCATCAACAAGGCCCACTCGTTGTAGTTGGACCTTGTCAACAATCGGGTACTGAACGACGGCGGTCGTTGTCTCCCTGATCACTCGCTCAACGACAACTCGACGCCCGTCATCACGGCGTCGGCCTCTTCGTGGTGGTGATGGAGATGCCGGCACTTGACGGCGGCGTGGAGGAGTGAGCGAGCTTGCTCGGGATGGACCCCACGATGTGCATATTTTCGCCCTTTGCATTTTCTTCTACTCGAACCTGAGACCTGTGTGTTGTTAGGTCGACACTCTAACCACTTGAGCTATTCAACTTGATTGTTGATAGATTGGCTCTTCTGTGATGGTATACTACCGATCGCTTCAACGAGGCTCTGATACCACTTGTTAGATTTCGCTAATCGGCCAGGGAAAACACCGAGAGGATATTGTCGACAGGAGGTTGTTGGAAGAAAGATAAAATGCGTAAAATAAGAGAGAGAGAAGGACTGAAAGTTTGACTGCTCTTCAAAATCCGGATGTGAAATCTTGTAAACAGATTTTCTATTTAAATACAACCTATCCTAAAAATGGGTGGAGAGTGGCCAACTGAATCTGTGCCACTTCCTAGAAAATTGACGTCTAAGAATTCGCTAATCCATTCGACGTGTTTGTCAAATGGTCAAAGGGAAATTAAATGTAAACGTGTGAATCTAAATAAGGAAAAAACAAAGGTTTTATCTAACAAGGAACGCACTATGGTTGATGAAATGGAGAGTGAATTATATTTCTCGTCTCCGTTTAGGTCACGGAGTCTTCCCGAGAACTTCGGGAGAATGGAGAACCCTAGGTTAAACTTTAACTAGGGTTAAAAAGAGATTTGACCATTGACCCATATGAAAAACATGAGACCAGGTTGAGTGTTCGTTTAGGATAGTAGAGTGAGATGGTCCAAGCTGACAGAATTAGTGTAAGGATTCATTGGATCTGTTCTGCCACTTCCAAATCTTCCTCGGTACTTTTCCACCCGACCCAAAAAGGGCTTGTTCTTTCGCTAATACCAGACGGTCAACATACTATCCTATCCTCTACCGGTCCCACCCAACCTTTTTTTTGCTTGTTTTCTTTTTCATAAACATGTAGAATTTTAGCAGAATTGTTGGAAAAGTAGTCACAAATCGACTCGTTAAGGGGTTGATTACGAGTTAATAAGTAAGAAATACATTTTATACTCAAAAGTGGGCAATATCATATTATTATGAAAGTATGTGATTCCTAACATGGTATCAGAACTATGCCTTTAACTTAGTCATGCTAGTTAAATTCTCACAAAGAAGATGTTAGCCTCGAATGTGTAGTTAAAAGTGACTCACTTGTCGAACAAATGATGTAATTTGTTCAAGGGCTCGAGAGAAAGAGTCGAGCCTCGATTAAGGGGAGGTTGTTCAAGAGCTTCATAGATCTCAGGAGAAGCTCTATGGTGTACTTTGTTCGAAGGGAGGATTGTTAAGAATTGTTGGGAGCGGAGTCCCACATCGATTAAGGGGTTGATCATGAGGTTATAAGTAAAGAAGGTATCTCCATTAGTACAAGTCATTTTGAAAAAGTAAAGTCAAAAGCCATTAAACACTCAAAGTAAACAATTTCATATTATTACAGAGGTCGTGATTCTTAAGAAAAGGTACGAAGATCATAACATTCATTATTTGTGTACGTAGAAGAAGGGATTTAAGCGTAGAATAAGGATTTGAGAGCGAGAGGTGTAGTAATGTTGGAGGACCCACTCCACATCATTTCAGCAATTAACTCATACGATGTATGAGTTAAATGAGTGGCATCAAAGAACACATACTCTTCTGGGTTCTCACATAGCTCATACTCTTTTATGTCTCCCTGACCCCCGCAGCTATTGGTTCCTCTTAATCCTCTCTTCACTTCTTTCATACCTTTGCCAAACCAAATCAAAATAAGTGACATGCAAATACAGCTCCATATGCATATGCTTCCAAATATTCACGTACCATATTTTGAAGGGTGGTCGATGATCCGATTCATAGCGGTGTGGAAATCAGCATGAGAATAGATGAATCCCTTCAGCATTTGTACAAGCTTTTCAAGAGCTTTGGGAAGCTTTTCATTGTGTAAAATGGCAAATTGCTTTAGTTGTTCCACCCAACCAACTTCACCATGGTATGTAGCTGCTTCTTGCATTCGTGGTAACCTTTCCAATGTCCCTGCATTTAGCATTGAAAATTTCCTTCCACCTATGAGTAAAATTCAAATTAGGTCAACTGGAGTGTAGTTCAACTGACATATTAAAATATACTAATTCATTGAGTTTTTATTTACTTGGATGAAATTGGTCATGTTTCCAATCACGGTATCAACATATTGTTCGGTTGTGTAGGATTGGTAAACTTCGGAGCGTGGATCAAAGGTACCATAGTCATTGCTTCCAAAGGCGATTAAGTACACTCGACAATAATTTTCTCATTTCTGAAGTTCCGAGGTTCTTTCTTAGTGTTCTTTTCATTTCTTTAAAATGGTTAACTTGAACTCTAAAGGGTATCACCTGAAAAATGACACAAACGTTAAATGGATGAGTTTGATTGCATGAATCACGAATCTCCACAATGGCATGATATTGTCCGCATAAGCTCTGATAACTTTGGTTTGGTTTCCCTAAAATGCCTCAGACCAATAAAGATGTATGATACTTATCAATCCATGATTATTCTCTAGATTAATCAACGTGGGGCTCGCTCCCCACAATCATCAACCCTCAAGAGAGAAATCTTACAGCTTCTGAAAAGGTTTCGTCGAGAGCTTCTGCTCCTCCCGATGCGAAATTTACTCCCTTCACAAAATCCTTAATGCCGGGATAAAGATAGGGAAGAATCAAGGGTAAGCCTGCATATTCAGCTGCATGCAACAAAAATAACTAAAATAACTCAACAAAATTTTTAATCAATGAGTGAAAACTATATATAAAAGAAATAGTGGAGAAAACATGCATAAATTTAGTTACCAATAAAATCAGGAATCTCTCTGCCATCACAAAATCTTCCGGTGGGGAACTTAAAGAAGGTTTGGCCATATGGTTGGAGATTTACGACGGCGGTGGTATTGATATAATTATCATTACCAACATCATAAAGGGAATCACCAAAGATGAACAAGGGTCGAAGTTCTTGCTTTGGCAATGGCTTGCAACTGTGTGGGGAGTGGCAGCTCATTGCCAAAATGGCTAAAAATGCACATGAAACCAGCTTTGATTTAGCCATATACTTTGAGATGTTATGTTTTTATTGAAATGAGAAGAAATGCTTATATATGATTTGAGTTTTGAAAATGCAATTTTTACGTGCTAACAAATTGCTTCGTCTATAACAAAACTTTGTCGTGTGAAAAGTCATGATTCAAACTTCCTAATAATGGATTAGGTTGGGAGAGATTTTAATTTCTTCGGGATTGTTACGTGCGTAGTTTCCGAAATCATAACAATGAAATTTGGAAATACGTAAAAATATTGTAAGACAAAATAATGTTGAGATAATTTTATGATTATTTTCTCTCATTTTTTCTTTATCAAACATTTTGAATTATTTATCAAATTTTAAAAAGTAAAAAAGAAAACGAAAATTTTGATTGTTGGTGAGGTGGGAATGTTGAAGACCAGGTCAACGATTCAGAATCGCCGGCGGCCAATTAGTCTTGTCAGATTTCAGCAGCGGTCAAACTTATCGGCTTTGACTAAATTTCTTTATTATTATTATTATTATTTTTGGCAAAGCTTTCACCAAATTCCATGCATCCATTATTACACCTTTTTCGTTCTCACTACAACCACCGACATGCTACATTACACGTAGATAAAAATGATGGAAAACTCGTACTTTTCTTTAAATTTTTCAAAGCCATGCAACTTTATGGGTCAGAAAAATAAAACTTGGGTTTCTTACGTCTCAATGTTCATGTATGTAATTTATGAACTAACATTTAATTCTTGGAACACGACAAGTATATGAATCATATCCTACCAAGTTTTAATGGCAATCGAAATATTCTCTGTGACAAGAGTCTTCCTTAGTTAAAAATTGCTAGGGGCAAACCTAATGTTTTTAACACACCAATTAATTATGTTATGATAATTTTCAAACCACGTTGGAAGAAAAAATGGGCTATGTCGACATAATTTTGTTCTTTTGTGTCTCGTGTTCATGTATGTTATTAATAAATTGGAATTGAATTTTCGGTACATGACAAATAAGTACATGAATTATGTACAACTTTTTTTTAATATGGTTTGGTAGTTTGAAAGAGATCGTATGAAAATATTGTAAAGTGAAAAGGTTCTTGTAGAGAATTATTTAGGAACACGTTTGGGATAGGGCAACAAATTATGTTCGACAAAATAATAAAAATAAATTAAACAATCATAATCAAGACGAGAATAGATAGGGGTATTGAGACATCTTAATCAAATAAGGCTTTAGAGACTCGAGATCGAAAGTATATAATCCCTAAATTTTCAAATTTAATAATTGTACTCTTTCAAACATATATTTTTTTTTTACACATGGGAAGTTTACCTATTGAACATCGATGGGTAATTAGATGTCGGTATGACTATTGATATATATGTGCATGTATATATGCATTTTAGTTGAAAGAATCAAGCTGAAACATTTACAAATTCAAACAATGTTGTTCTAATTTAGCCCTAAGAAACAAAGTGAACATTGTTTTAATTATTTTTATAGACATATAATATCAAAATTATTACTCATCATGACTTTGAAGAGTAAATTGAAAAGTGATTTTAAATATATTAAAAGATAACTAAATTTTCCAAACATCCAAACCGATTAAGATTCATTCACTAACAAAAAAAAGCAATCCCAACAGGGGCCTAAGTAGGTGGTAATAAATATTTTGTTTTTGTTAGAGCAGTTCCAAGATCACTAGAATTCTACATGGATATTGGATCTCTAGACCTCTAAAGTTGTACAATAAAATTGGATAGCCGAGACGATTTTTCTTTTAGGTTTCGGGTGCTATGACTTAGCTATCATGAAAGCTTCACTGCAGACAGCTTCCTCAGTTTCCGGTCGTGATTCAGCATTGTACTTACGCTCTCAACCACTAGAACGATCTGTAAGGAAACAGGTAGTGGGCCCAGAGAATTACTGAACATATAACAAATTGGTCTAAAGATCATCTATACAAGTAATCGAATGACAACAAAACCATGTTCTTGACCGAAATATGTCTGTCCTAACAACAGCGATTAGTAGTGACTAGAAAGCAAGATAGGCACAGCTTTTCGTGTATTAGGTCCAAGCAGTGATATGAATGCAAATTATATTTTAAGCAACTGGAACGTGGAGAATCCTAGCAGTGATATGAATGCAGATTATATTTTAAAAAAGAAAGACCAACCTGGAAGCAAGCATAAGCCATAGCGTTTGCAAAATAGAAATTTGCATTGCCAGTCCCCTGCAATTTCGTGATGTCATTTAGTTAAAAAGAGATTCAAGTCTTTCCATGTTTCTGTTCAAATCAGGATGCAAAGAAGGCATACCCTCCATATCCAAAGATTGTGCATTACAGGGCTGAGCAGTGAAATCCCAATATACCCGCAGAACAGAAAGAATGAGAACTCCAAATCTGTATGAATAGCATTGGACATTAATTAAAAGGTGAAGATTCAAATCAGGTTGAAAATACAAGTGACCAGAACCGCATGATTACTCACCAACTAATTCGTATACAAACAATCCCACAAAACTCAAGTACAGAGCTGAGTCCCCTACCTATTGGAGTCAAAACGACAAGATAGCTTATTAAACTCGCATCATCGTGTAGTCAAGTGTATGACTACTAAAAAATCAAAAGAAAGTCATGCAACAAGACGTGAGGATACCGAAGGATAAGACTTCAACATTGCAGAAATGGAAAGAAGCACAAAAGCCAGAAACAAGGGTCGATGGTGGAGACGAACGGCCAATGGTGTTATCATAAAAAGAATATTGATATGGAAGACTATTAAATAAAAATCCCTGAAGAACTCAAACACTTCAGCAAAAAGGTACCTGAAAACAGCATTAAAAAAAATCAGTTGGAAAGTGACGTGTAAGACTTTATGTATAGGTTTCATTTTGTAACCAACTAGTATTTTGTTGGACTCACCATAGAACCCCAATATTTGGAGACAAATCTTGCACAGTGAGAATAAAGCCATATGTACTGCAGAAACCAACCACATATTTTATAGCCGAGTAAGAAATATGGTTGAAACTCAGATAAACACTTCAAACTCATGTTACTTGCATGGTAATAAGAGTGGTTACCTTAAAAACGTGAAACCTTGATATAAAAAAATTATAAATAAATAAATCAAAAGAATAAAAGAAAAGGAACCAACTTTCTCACTGGTGGATTTAACTTCCAGGTTGTCGACCTTTTCTTTTCATATTAATGAAATGAATATACACAGTATTTTGGAAACTGACTAGCATTCAGCCAAGTGACACCTCCCCATCCTTAAAGACTAAGGGTGAAGGAGGACCTGAAATGTGCATATTCATCACTGACCTATCACAATCGCAATTGTGTACTGGGTGAAGTAGGCATATGTTCATTTTGGTATGAGAAATGCGAAGTGTCAACGGGTACATTAATAAATATATCGCAGAAAGTTCTAAATAAAAAATCCATACCTTCTAAACATCTCCCAGAGTCCACCAAATTGTTTAAGAGATACGCCACAGAGAAGCAGCAGATACACAGAAAATAAAGAAACCCATAATAAGAAATACATCACTGGTCTCAATGAGAAACCATTTGGTACTTCAGACTGATTGATCACTTCCTCCTGCTGGCTACAGCTATCACGTGAAGGTCCCACAACAACTCTACTACTACTCCTTTGCAAGAACAATTTCCTAGGAGGAGCATCTAAGCCATTACCTAGTAGAAGGACTACCTGGGGGGAAGAAGGAGAACATAGCAACTATATTAGAAGAATCCATGAGCAAGCAAATTATATATTGTCTTACAAACACCCAAGACAGAACAATCATACCGGAATTATAAGAATTATAGGATAAAGAGATAGATGAGTCGCCACCACAAATCCAAAAGCGGCCAATGGAACTTGTCCTGTACTACATTAGATGCATCTTATCAAATGAATGGTTCAAAATAACCAAAAAGAAAATCATAACAAAAATAAATGTATATTTTCAGTAACAAAAACATGCAATCAGTGTAATGGTGGTATGAAAAATGTCAATTTGCTGGTGCTTCAATATGAACAATTGAACCTTTGAAAGTTTTGGTGAAATTCACGCGTATGACTCTTGTCTATAAATTATGCTTTTTCAGAAGGCGGAAGAAAAAAGATTGTCATTACAAAGCAAAGATTGCTAATTTCTTGCCTTTAGATGCTCCATAGAGCGTAAGCACAATGGCTAGATTTTCGATTGGAGATGTGGACAAACCCACACATGCAACTATTGTGAAAGGATTCCACAGGTACACAAGAGATGCAATATCTCCAGCTGGGAAGAACTCTGCTAACATTAAACAAATAATGACATTACTCATAAGCCAATCAAAGAAAGGAATGTAGCATTCAACAAGTAAGTTGAAATCCAACTCGAAAGGCAGTTCTCATTTGAATGACAATGACATACAACTATAAGACAATCCAGATCTATAATGAAGTCATCCAGAAAACAGAGCTTTGCCCTTCGTAATTTTATATTCATCAATGAAATTTCTGTTTCCTTAAAAAATATTATTATTACTACAGCAACCAAAAAGACCATGTTTTCATGTGTTTCTCCCAATTTCTCCCTTTGTAAGTGTGAAATATCAATTTCTATGGAATAATATAATTGTCAATTCTCATTTACTTACAATAGTTATAAGGGACATTTTTTAAGAAAAAAAAGGTCTAATACGTAAAAAGGAAAAAACTAATACAAATAATTAAAATATAATTATAGCCAATAAATCTAACTATGAAAAACATCACAAACATAAACCAACAGTAGGAATTGAATATCCGTATTGCTATATCAACCTAATAAGTGATTTCCAAGTACTCACTTCCCAGCTCCATCATTTAGAAAGAATCTACAGTAATCATATAGGTCAAGACAAATATAACTAGATAGTGAAACTGCAATTTTGCGCTGCTCTTATGTAGAAAGGATTTCAATTCTAAAGTCCACTAACCACATCCATTCAAATTGACATAGTTGTCTGAATGTACGAGTTATATTTGAACTCAATTGGGCATCGAACATTATATCATCTTCTATACAAGGTTTAATACATCTCAGATCAGCACCATGCTGAGTAGCTGATTTCTGTATCATGCTTCAACATTTCAAAGGAAACCTATATCCAAAGGCATTAGATTGCATCTTAAACTTATTTCATTTATTCAGAAAATACCTGTCTTTAAGAAGATTATAGAACAAGAATATATGAAAGTCTGAGGGCCAACATCTTATTCAGTTTCATGGGAGTTTTCATTTCAAGCAAATAATGGCTTTCTGTGATATTTGTATAATCAGAAACAAGTTTCAAACGAAAGGAGTACAGAGAATGCAACAGAAATTTACAAAGTGAAGCAGAGGAAAAATCAATAGAAATTACTTAAGCGTAAGAACCCAACCTTATAAGAGAAATGCAAGATGACAATTAATTGTGGTTATAATTTTCGTGAAGTAATTTTTAAATCACTATAAGCTATATATAGGTTGTACTATGGTTATTGCGATATATTGTTCATGGATAAAGAGTCAATAATTATCTCTAAGATGTTCATGGAATCCTAAAGTTTGGAAAATATATTCCAAATAGAATTCCTAGAAGTTAATTTTAAAATTTATGGCATAGCATTTAGATCCCTGACGTTACACAGGAAAATGTCAAGGAAACTTCACCCTGTATTTTTTAATTAAAATGTCCTAACTTGTGGGATTAATGATCATATCTGATCTCTCCTTTCCGTCGCTAGTGATTGTATGCAGTTCAGTCTTAACTAGAATAAAGATCGGCACATTCATTTACAGTTCATCATATGCATAATTTTCAATCGCATGTCAAAGTACCTGAGTTTTTTGACAGGTTAACCTTCAGCAATCTCAAATTCCGATAATATGCCCTCTGAAGATTCTGACCGACTGCACGAATAAGCAATGCACTCAGAACATCTGCAACCACAAAAGCAAAACTATGCAACAATACATTTATATTAACAGCCTGAATAAATAACAGAACTATCATTAATGAATGAAAATCTTAGGCCTTGAAGAAATCACAAATAATTTAAGTACAAAAAGTGCACAACAGAAATGTTAAAAGAAATTGGACTTCACTGAAACCCATTCACTTTCAAACCATTGATAACAACCTTAAAAGTGCATAAAACAATCTTAGTGGCGAACAAAAAAAAGAAAAATGCAAAATTCACCTGCATAAAAGATGGTCTGGTTGCCCTTCAATTCTGCATCACCAAAATACAACTATTATTGAATGTCAGAAAACACACCAAACTTAGCATTATACTCCGAGCACTTGCAAGCACAGGATCCTAGTAATTCAGAAATTCTGAAGTTACCAAATTCATTTTCACGGGCTTCAAACTCTTCAATTTAAGTATGCAATAAGAAAAACGATAGAAGAAACGAAACACTAATCAGCTTCAGGTTCTTAGCCATTATAAATACAAAACACAGACACCTGTTAAACCAACAAGGGAAAAAAAAGCCTCTATTGAAGTACAATGTTACATTTCTTTTGGAGGTTGGTTTCTACCTTTTGACAGTCAGTGGCCCTAGAAGAGACAGTAACAGAGGAGAGCCATGGTACATAGATCCTGGTCAGAAAAATAACCAAATTCTCAAAATTATAAGATAAGCATCTACAATCAGCCAGCTTCAGAAGCAACATTTGAATTGATAACGAAAGGAAAACAAGGAAACCTGCATAGGGAGACATTGACGACTGCTTTAACCAATAGCCCTCAGCTACTGCAAGACATTAAAACAATCAACAAGATATCATGAGCATAAACTAAGCTAGAAACCAATCATAGCTCGAATCTCAAAAGAAAAGAGAGTAAAATACGTCGATGAATGCTGGTTAGAGGTGTGGAGACTTCGGGGCGAGAGGACAGATTCAGATTGGGAAAATATATCATAACGATCCTAAAAATCACTGACAATACCATCCATATCCAAAAGTTTCCCTTCCTTTTCTTCTCCTCCTCTTCGAATTGTTCCTTCGCCGCCATTTCCAACTCTTCCGTTCTCCTTCTTCAACAAGTTACTGAAATGGAGGATTCCTTCTTCAAACTTCGGCACGGTTTTTCGAGAACCAAAGGTTTTGGGCGGTCGCAGATCGGGGGCTTCAGCTACCGGCTACCGGCTGCCTGCTGCAGATGGTATCCATTTTTAATTGGGCTCGGCTGGCGAGGCCCAATCACTCGTTCTAAAAATATTTGGGCCAATCGTTATGGGCCCAAATTGCATTGGATGAGGGCTATTTGGGAATTTAAGATGTAAATAATGGTTTAATCTTTAGAACGGGAATGACAATATATAAAACAAAAGTAATTAATATTAAATAAATCAAATAATTTTTTTTACCAGTTTTTAAGTAATTCATCTCTGAGTAACACGTGTAAGCTTAATTTCACAAGATTTTATAAATGAGATTATATTTCGCATTTAAGTTTCATTAAATTAATCATGGATATATATTTCTTAAATACTATTTTCAACGTCATTATTCATGAACATATTTGATTAAACCTTTAAAAGTTTCACGTGAAACTTAGATTAAAAAAAGAACAAAAGAGATTAAATTATTGATGATGGTTAAGGAGGTTTGATTTATTAATTATTTTAAGCCTAAAAGTTGGAAAAGAAATACATAAGAAAAAATGAACGTAAATAAAGAATATGCCACGTGGTACAGAATTTGAGACATAATACAAGACAAATTTAGGAACAAATATTTGCCGGCCAACTTCCAATAAATTGTTTTATTTTCCATTTTTAGAATCAATATCGGATTGTTTTTATTTTTTTGGAATCACGATAAATAATAATTTCATTTTTTTTTCTTTTTACATCTGTGAAATACAGATTTTGATACTCCCATTTGACAGGGGATGATTCATGTGTGACTCAAAGTAAAACAAGGCATGTATTTAAACAGGGTTTGATAAGGGAATAAAATGTGACTCGACTTAGTAAATAATGCTTATACACAATTCTATCCATCTACATCGTCGCTTCTATTAGCCAAATCACTCTTTTCAAAATTATCGCTTTAATTTATACTTTTTTTCTTACTTTATTTACGGAAACGCTTGCCTTTAACAATATCTTCTCGTATATCATGTGTTTCATTTGGCATCTTTTTCGAATATTAGTCATAAAAGATCTCTTCCAATTTAATAACGTTCATTTACCAGCATATAAATCTAAAATCGAATCAATTTGTTGCTGGACAAATTTAATTATTCTTATTAAATTATATATTTTCTTTATTTTATTGTTTTGATGTTGGTTAAACAAGTGGCTTTCATTACCATTTTTGAGTGACAAAATTGTGTTTTATGTATATATAAACAAAAAATAAAAAATAAAAAACAAACAGCAAAAACAATGTGGGAAGAGTAGCTAGAGACACTATTGAAGAACAAAGTGTCAAGTGGAAGGGAAAGCGAAAAATCGTGAAGTTTATTTAGTCAACTATACGAGAGTGTATTCGGTTGCATGTTTTTGAAAATCGGGATCTAAATTTGGTAAAAGAATCCTTTTCTTAAAAGCTACATTAATGCAATCGTGATGTGTTTCTATCAGAGACACACATTCAGATGGCGTGTTTCATATCAGACAAATATTGTTCAAATTAGTAAACAATTTCTTGTATCAATTCTCATGCATGTAGCCAGATCACTATCCTTGGGAGTATCACCTCAACTACAGTGTCTTTCTCAGCTTTACTACTCTAATACCCGTTTAAACAATCTCTTTTAATTAGTGTCCAAACTTAACATGTTTGCCAAAAATCTCATCTTCAATAATCTCTGTTTACGTGTTCTTATTTAAGAACTTATATCAACATAAAACCCTAACTACACTAATATATTCCACGAGCACAACCATTACACATCTCATCTAAATAAACAACACTTATGGAAGAAACTAGAGAGTAACTCAACTTATATTCATAATGTTACAGATGATAACACGATTAATAAAATTGGTTCTCTGTTCGCCTATCAATGATGCACCTTTCTCCTCCTCCTTGGACCATGTACAAAATGACACAAACCCGATTTGCTTACCCAAAACCCGAGAGAGAAAAAAAAAACACGACATTAAAAAAAAAATAATAATAATAAAAAAAAAAAAGAGACCGTAGCAAACTTCCTAAATCCATCCGTCTTCATTGATGCGGTTCTTCACATCACACTTCCAAATCTCTTTCAACCATTGAATTCAAACGTCCATTTCTGTCGTCATCATTCTCAAATGTCTCATTTTGTTCGACATCCTCACCATTTTCAATCTCCAACGGACCGGTTCTAGTCAACTCCTGAGCCCTCTCGGCCTGTTCTTCCCAATTGGTCCGAGCCAGCGCCATGAGCATCGCCATTGCACATGAGGCCTGCGCCGCCAGCAGCCCAATCCACAGTCCTTTGAAGTCCCACCCGCCGTAGAAGCTCAACCATATCGCAATCGGCATTCCCACTATGTAAAAACACACCAAATTTATATTCGCTCCCAATGTTGGCCTCGCTGTCCCTCTCAAAACCCCGCAGGTTGTCGTCTGTGGGCAGTTCCCCAGCTCGCAAAGTCCGATGATTGGGAGGACAAGCGATGTCAATTCTATGATTTCCGTGTCATTTGTGAACATTGTGGCCCACACTTTTCGAACTTTGAAAGCGAATACCAATGCTGAAAGGCCAAAGAAGAAGCTGAAACAGAGCCCAACAATGGCGGCTAATTTGGCTCTGTTTGGTTGGTTTGCTCCCAATTCGTTTCCAACTCTTGTTGAAACTCCAACGCTTAGTGACGATGGGAAAATGTAGATTAAAGCTGTGGTTTGAATCAAAATCCCCATGGAAGCCACTGTTGATTGAGGATTCATCATGAACCCACTTAGCATAATCATGATTTCGTACCACCACCATTCCAAACAAACCGAAACACAGCTTGGAATTGCTAACCTAAGAAGCGACTTCCACTCCTTCAAACACTCCGACGAGAATCCCGGCCAGGAATTCTTGTACACGCCGAAGACGAGGATGAAAATAATCACCGATCCGACGAGGTTGAAGTTCGTCCACACAGCTCCCAAAGCGACGCCGTGAATTCCCAAATCGAGAACAGAGACGAGAAGGTAATTAATTGGAACGTGAAAAAGAACCGACAATCCAACGCAGTAAGTGAGAGGGAGGTTAATTGATTGACAACGAAGGTAAATTCGTAAAGGGTGAAGAAAAGACAGAGCAATTAAATCAGGGATAGAACAGAGGATGAAGGAATGAGCTTCATTGGCAATATCATCCTCTTGTCCACAAAAGATCAGAATCTTCTTCATATTGAGCCACAAAAACGAAATGGGTATTGAAGAAAGGAGAAGAAGAATGACTGTTCTTTGAAGGGCAAGGCCCAAAAGTTTGAATCTTTTAGCCCCAAAAGCTTGGCCGCAGATGGGCTCCATGCCACTGGCCAATCCAGACAGAACAGAGTAGCCAGTGATATTAGCAAACCCAATTGCCAGCGAACCGCCGGCCAAGGACAAGTCACCCAACTGGCCGAGGAACAACATGGAAATCATGGAACGAGAGTACATAAAAAATCCGACAAAAATCATCGGAAGAGCGACGTGGGCTATAGATTTGCACTCCGAGAGAAGAAGACAGAGAAATGGATATTTGTCTGCTACTGTCGTTGAAATGGTTGGGTTTTCGGAGATCAGAGGAGCTGTAAGTGAATGATTAGTTGTCGGACTATTTGGTTGGTCGGAAAGTAGAGGAACAGAAGAAGCAGACATTGTCGGAAGCAAGTTTTTTGAAGGGGGATTATGAAATTGGACACCCAGAAAGAAACAGAGAGGGATTTATAAGAAAGACCAAATCTGAAATGGGTGACTGTGAAGAAGTTATTAGGGTTGTGGCCGTATTTATAGCCTACAAAATTCCACTTTAATTTATGAATCAATCAACACATTAATGAGCATTAAAACAAGGTTAAAATAAATTAATTACAATATAGTCATTAGATAGAGTTATAATTTTCTGAAAATAAACCGCGTATTCATGCATGGCTGATGCTATGCTTCGCTTATTTCCCCACTTGTTAAATTCCGGGAATGATGGCTTTGGACCCACGCCGTTTTCCTTTTACTTTCTCACTGTCTTTTAATTTATATATTATCATATCTTCATATGAAATTACCATAATAGAATTAACCGGACACCACGCCTTGTTCGTTCGTATTGAAACATGAATAGTCTATTAGAGATCACTAAAAGATAAAATTATATAAATGAAAATAGCGTGTTATAAGATACACAGAATTAATGTGTTGACGAGATATGATTTCAATGTTCTAAAACCATGGTCGAGTAAAACATTAATTTCCAAAAAAAACAACACCAAATCCAAGAATAAAATTGAATTTTTGAGGGGGTATGAAATGGTAACAAAACAACCACTCTATTTTATAATTTTACAAACTACTTCACAATGATATGATATTGTTCACTTTGAATAAGAGACTTGTTTTGGAGTGTTAGTCATTGTTTGACTATGACTTCGAGGAGCCAATGGAAAGAGTATTATTTGACTATAAACTCATTATTTATTATTATTATTATTTTTTAAAGAATACCCAATTTAAAAGGTTAAAAAAAACAACCATTAAAAAAAAAAAAAAGATGTAAATTGAAAGAAATTATTACTCTGAACAGAGCTAAGAAGAGGAAACAAACCCTAATAAACCCTATTTCAAAAACAAAACCCTAATCCAAAATCTAACCTATCCCCTAAACCTATTGAAGTAATAAATAAACATGAATCAAAAAAGCAATAGAAACAAAAGAATTTCAAACCAAACCCACTTTAAAAAAAAAAAAAAAAAAAAGTTCTAATCCGAAGAGGCATGTGGGGTTTCAGTTGCCTGAGTTTGAGTTTGATCTTGGGTCACATATTTTCCCCAATACGGATGTTTGTGCCAAACAAGAGTCATCTCTTCAATAGGCACACCCTTTGTCTCCGGCAGAAACTTATATATGAATATGCTCATCACCACCACGAAGAACGCAAAAAATATGAACATCCCAAATTTCATGTGGCAAAGCATAGCCGTGAACACTTGAGCAACCACAAAAGTGAAGATCATATTCACCGAAACGTTCACACTTTGAAGGGCCGATCGAACCTCTAGAGAAAATATTTCACTTGGAACCAACCATCCCAAAGGCCCCCATGACCAAGCAAACCCTGCAGTGTATATGCATATGAACAACACCACTGCCCCCGCATACTCCTTCGACAATTCCCCGGCGACCCCGTCGAGGCCGAACTTGTAAGCGATCATAGCCGTAACCACAACTTGAGATATGAACATTTGAGTACCACCTTCAAGGAAAAGAACCCTTCTTCCAAATTTATCAACAAGAAAAATGGAGACAACGGTGGAGAGGCAATTGACCGTTCCAGTAATCATGGCGGAGATTAAAGAGGCAGAGTTTCCAAATCCAAGTGTTTTAAACAAAACAGGAGCATAGAAAGTGATGACATTGATTCCAGTCAATTGCTGAAAAAATGGGATGGCTATTGCCATTGCAAGCTGTGGCCTATATTTTCTTTTCAACAATGCACTCCATTGGTTCTTCACTTGCTTTGATGCGTCCCTAGCTGCCACCAGATCGGCTAGCTCCGTGTCTACGTCGTCGACTCCTCTCACTTTCTTGAGAAGCTCCTTCGCCTCGTCGTGGCGGTCGCGCTCGATTAGAGAGCTCGGGGTGTCGGTGAGGGTCATGGAGCCGAAAATTATGATCATGGCTGGGACCATGGCTCCTCCAAGGCTGAGCCTCCAGCCCCAACCTCCGGGGATCAACGAGAAGGCGTAGTTGAGGACGTTGGCTATTAGAATGCCAATTGTGATCATGAGTTGAAACAGATTGTTGAGAGATCCTCTGTATTTATAAGGCGCCATTTCTGACAGATAAATTGGCACCGACTGCAAACAAAATAAGAATATTGTTAGGAATCACGACGCTCACAATATCAAGATATTATCCATTTGACTTCTGCAAGCAAAAGGGTTATATTAGAAACCTGATTAGCGCAACCAATGCCGAAACCGAGAAGTAAGCGGCCGGCGATGAGCATGGAAACGGTTTGAGCAAAGCCGTTGAGAAGAGCACCGGCGAGAAACAGAATGCCGCCCATGAGCATCGTAATTCGACGGCCACACTTTCGACTGACGGTGGCGGCCACTAGAGAGGAGACCAGCGCCGCCAGATAAAGGGAGGAGGTAAAAAGAGTCAAAATTTGACTGTCAAATTTACAGTATTGATTATTTGATGGATCTGTGGACGTTTCTTTTTGGTATACGGCTGGAAAAAACTTGGATAGGAATGAATCCATGGAGGTCACTCCACCTGAACAAAACAAGACAAACACCCATTATTATTATTATTATTATTATTATTAAGTTATAATTATTAAGAAAAAGAAAAGAAATAGAATTATTAAATTACCTGAGATACCCAAATCATATCCAAAAATTAACCCGCCAGAGGCTGCAATGAAGCAGGTATAAAACACTTTCCAGGTAAATTTTCCTGGATAATTTTTTCCTTTCTCTGAACCCACCATAATTCCACCCGCCATGTTCGAAACCAAAAATTGTGTGAGGAAAAGGATAAGGTTATTGTAAGGATAAAGTTATTCAGCAGCCTTTATTTATAGTAAAAATTAGGATAGGTGGTTAAATTTTGAATTTCAAATAACAGTTATAATTTGATTGGGTCATATAAAAATTTATGGTCGATTCTGTTAGATTTTATTTTAATTTCAAATAACAAGTTTTTTTTTTTTTATAATCTCTTTAAAATTTAAACAATATTTAATTGTACTCATTTTTAATTATTCATTTCTTATATATGTATATTTATGGATTGAAGTCTTAAAAATATTCTTTTAACAAACAAAGAAATTGATTATAAATTTAAATTTATAGTTAAGATGGTATATTTATTCAATAACGAATCGATTTTATATAATTAGACCAGATTCAATTTAATCTAAACTAAATCCAAAATTAATATTTAATAAATAAAAATTCTTTTATTTAAAAATTAATATTTAGTAAATAGTTACTTTGTATCTTAAATATTTTGTTAAATACAAATTTATAAGGGTAGAAATTTGACAAAAATTGAAAAATCAAAATTATTTAGAATTCATAATGTATTTTTAAATTACTAAAACAATATTCATAAACACTAATTATTAAATTAGAAATAGGAAGAAATTAGGAGAAGTTGGTGACAAATAATGACAACCCAATCACAACCAAAATAATTTAATTTTTTTTAATATGAAAATAGTAAAACAAATAAATAAGTAGATATTGAGTGATTTATTTTATACGAGAATGTCTTTTTAATTTTAATTTTAATGAATGAGTAGGTCCAAAATTATTCAATACTTTTAAAATTAAAAAATAAAACAAATATTTAATTTCATAAAGTAAAAATATATATATATATATATATATTATATTTGATTTTTTAAAAGGAAAAAAATTATTATTATACTGTAGCTAAAAATGAGCCACGTTATTCATTCTCTACCTCATGCTTAATAAAAAATAAAAAATATATATTTATAGAAGTGGAGTCAATGAATTTGTTTGATATTTATAAACACTAAATATGAATAGAACAAATCCAAACCAAATTGACTGCCCTTTTTAAGACACCAAAATTGATCACTGAAATTGACGTGATTGTGGGATGATGAAGAACACAAATTCTCTTCGAATTTCAATTGCTAAATATTAAAACAAATTCGTTCATTTTTGTTTATCATGTAATTCTGTCATGGCTTCTTTGACTTCCTCTTCTTCGTCATCTTCATCGACCACGAAGCATCCTCTGTACAGAGGAATTCGGTGCAGGGGTGGAAAATGGGTGTCGGAGATCCGGGAGCCACGTAAGACGACACGCATATGGCTAGGTACATTTCCGACACCCGAGATGGCTGCCACAGCTTACGACGTTGCCGCTCTCGCTCTCCGAGGTGATCAAGCCATCCTTAACTTCCCCTCCTCTGTTGCCTCCTATCCTGTTCCTGCCTCCACCTCCCCGCTTGACATACGCAATGCTGCCTCCGCCGCCGCCAATGCGTTGAACAAAGTTGAGACTTGCAGCACTAACATTGAAGATAGTGGTAATACGGCGTCGTTCGTGGATGAGGAGGAGATTTTTGGGATGCCAAGTTTGCTGGCCGACATGGCGGAGGGGATGATGGTGTCGCCGCCAAGAATGAACTCTCCACCGCTGTCTGATGACAACTCCGATGGAACGGAATGTTTATGGAACTATTTTTTATGATATAATTAATGTATGTTAAAAAAATAAAATGGATTAATTTTTTAAAAAATTGTTTTTTTGTTTTTACTATAAAAAGTGGTTTTGGTTTAGTGGATTAATTTTTTTATTTATTTATAAACCCAAGTGTAAATTAATTAATGATTTTAATTTCTCCAATTTCAGTAAACATTCACATGCTCCACTACTTGCCTAAGGTTTGGTGGGAATGAGATCACATAAAATATATGAAATTTAATTTATTTTTAGTGACCAATAATTTATACCATAATATAAAGGGACCTCTTAACTAAATTAACTATAAAATATCTCCCAATGATAAATGGATGAAATAAGATATATATGTTTTGCCGACCTCAAATATCAACTTTTTAAGACAGTGGCCGCACCCGACAAAAGCTTGTCGGAAATATCTATTCTTAATAATAATAATAATAAGAGTTGGAACTAAATTGACATTGAAGTAGAAAAAGTAATACTAAATGAATAGCTTGTATTTAAAACAATATTAGCGGAATTCAATTTTAATTTGAATGTTTGATCCCGGTTGATGAGTTTGAATTATTTTAATAATATGAACATATATTAATGAGTTAAAACGCACATTTAAGATTATCAATTCAAATCTTTCTGCCTTCGCATGTCATTAAAAAACTTCGATTTGAATCCTTATATCATATATGCATTCTCGTCTTGTGAAATCATAACTATGAGAATGATTGTAATAATTAGTTTTTCCGGGTGAATAAATAGATTTTTTTTCCCTTCTACAACACACATTTCGCTAATATTTTGAAAAGTGAACGTCTTCATCCTACTTATAGCCTAGAGTTATTCGACTTGAGCATTTGTACAAGTGTTTAAGCCTCCTCGAGGCTGTGGGGAAGTAAGCTACAAGTATTTTCGGCATAATGTAAAGTATAAAGAGAGTCTGTTTAAATTACGTGAATAAACCCTATACAAAATGAAAAGTAATTTAGCTCGATTGTCTAAACTAATTTGGATTAAACCTAAACATACGGTAACGACCCATGTCTAGGATTTGGATCATAATTCAAAATATATATTCGGCACTTGATGACCCTGACAATTTATTGAGATGTAGTCATACTACCTACTTCTCGCTTCTAAGAGTGATATTACTCTACAATCTAACACATGTTCTTTTAACATGTTTTGTTCTCACTCGTCCATCACAAAAAAATTATAATACAAACACTATTATTAATGATCGGGACGGTTATTATGTAAAAGAAACAAAAAAAATAATAATAAATTGGGTGGCCATTTTTGAAACGACCAGTTAAATCCCATATCTTGGGTGGACCTAGGCTTGACCGGGTAACCCGACGGCCCAAACAAGTCAAGAAGGCTCGTGTAGAAGCCCAAGTTAACTGTTCTTGAAATTTTAGCCCACGTTTTTCCCGTGACTCCGTGGGCTAACCGTAAGACAGCTGTCAGAGGCCGAGTGTGAATGCCCACTAACCAACCACCCCTTAATTTGATTTTTTTTACTTAAATAATGGGTTAGCATATTTAATATATTTAACATGAGTTTCAATCAATTTTTAAACTACAATCAGAATGGATTTATCTTTTTTTTTTTTCTTTTTAATCCCATACCTCCGACATACTTTCTAACCATTCTTTTTTTTTTTTCTTTCTAAATTTCCGTATATTTTTTTAGTTCAATATAAATAATGTATATAAACAATAGCGTAAATGTCAATACGAAGTTCAATCCTAGTATATTAAATAGACGTAGTATTATTATTAAAATGATACTAATTTAATTTTAAATTAAGTTCCACCAATTGATGGGAGATTTTATTATTATTATTATTATTATTTAAATATAAAATCAAGTTATTGCTATAGTTAATACAAGGCCAAACGTTTTTTTTTTTTTTTAATAATTTAATGAAACGTGTAGAAACTAAACCACGATTATATTAAGTTATGAAAACAAATATTTTTACCGAAAAATAATTAAATTTGATAACTTCATACGTCATCAAACTGAGACGACATTAAAACTGTGGCGTCAAGTCTCACGTGCGGATTTGAAACCCACGCAGAATCCATGCGTTGCTCACACGCACTAAGCTTAGCCTCTAACTAAACTGCCACGTCACCACAAAAATGTTAATAAATTAAATAAAAGTAACTGGTCAAAGGGTCAAACTCAATTTTATGGGTGTATTAAGTTTTTAAAATATCCAATTTGGTTTTAATTATTATTACGCCATTTGTTTTGTCGCGTTTTTGCGTGTGGATTTGGGTGCTTTGTACCACGTGTTGGAATCCCCTGCAGCCGAATCTATTTAAGCATCTCACTGCCATTGTTTTCAGTCTTGAAATCAAAACTCCTCAAGTTTCTCTGAATTTTATTCAATTTCTATTCCATGGATTTTTTCACCCAATTTTCTGATCCTATTCCTTATTATGGTAATTATAATTGCAAGTCGGAATCTTCGTCCACTCTGTCAGACGCCGGAACGCCGCCCCACGTGGTCGCTAACTCCGACGAGGAAGTGATACTGGCGTCGAACCGGCCGAAGCGCCGGGCTGGTCGGCGGGTTTTTAAGGAGACGAGGCATCCAGTGTACAGAGGAGTGCGGCGGAGGAATAAAGGCAAATGGGTGTGTGAGCTAAGGGAGCCGAATAAGAAGACCAGGATTTGGCTCGGGACTTACCCAACTGCTGAGATGGCGGCACGTGCACACGACGTTGCGGCACTCGCGTTGAGAGGAAAATCGGCTTGTCTCAATTTTGCTGACTCAGCTTGGCGGTTTCCGATTCCATCGAGTAATGATCCGTCGGTGATCAGAGAAGCGGCGGCGAAGGCGGCGAAAGAATGTGAGTATGAAGAGTGCAATGTGAGTCGGGAAGAGGACGAGGTGGTTTTGAGTCAGCCAAAGGCGGAGCCTGATCAACGGGATTACGTCGACGACGAGGCTTTGTCGAATATGCCGATGTTGCTTGCCAGCATGGCGGAAGGACCTCTGCTTTCTCCTCCTCGTTTTTGCTTACGCGATGACGTGGAGTGGGACAACGTGGATACAAATGATGATGTGTCATTGTGGAGCTTTTAGAAGTAGGTAGAGTGAGAATCCCCCAACCAACCAGGAAACTAAATGTACAGACTTTTATTCGAGGAAGTCAAGGTTACATATAAAGTAATGTGCAATTGGTTATATAATAAATACCAAAAGTTTTATATTTACTTTCATCATTTTTGTTCAAATCAAATAACTTTTTAAATCACTTTAAAACTATTTTCTAAATTTTCTCACACCCAATTAAAATAAATTTATATAAATGAACTATAACGACGTTTGAATAAAAGCAATCTTAAAAATAAAATTTATAAATTATGCTTACAGTAGTAATGGAAACGTGTTTGCTTAAAATTATTATTATTATTATTATTTTAAAAGTTAAAACAGCAAAAAAGGAATTTTGTTGGCAAACGCTTTTTGATTTACCATGGACCCCATGTTTGACTGTTTTCAAACAAATGCTGAAAACATTTCTTACTTACATAGGAAGAAAATTAATATTTTTTTCTGATATTTTATTATAAACGTGGGAAACCAAATTTTGGAAAATACCAATAAAAAGAAAGTCATTATAGGTTTATTGCATTTAATTTGCTTAATATTAAAAAAAAAAAAAAAAAAAAAAAAAAAAAAAAAAAAAAAAAAAAANCGTTGAGAGGAAAATCGGCTTGTCTCAATTTTGCTGACTCAGCTTGGCGGTTTCCGATTCCATCGAGTAATGATCCGTCGGTGATCAGAGAAGCGGCGGCGAAGGCGGCGAAAGAATGTGAGTATGAAGAGTGCAATGTGAGTCGGGAAGAGGACGAGGTGGTTTTGAGTCAGCCAAAGGCGGAGCCTGATCAACGGGATTACGTCGACGACGAGGCTTTGTCGAATATGCCGATGTTGCTTGCCAGCATGGCGGAAGGACCTCTGCTTTCTCCTCCTCGTTTTTGCTTACGCGATGACGTGGAGTGGGACAACGTGGATACAAATGATGATGTGTCATTGTGGAGCTTTTAGAAGTAGGTAGAGTGAGAATCCCCCAACCAACCAGGAAACTAAATGTACAGACTTTTATTCGAGGAAGTCAAGGTTACATATAAAGTAATGTGCAATTGGTTATATAATAAATACCAAAAGTTTTATATTTACTTTCATCATTTTTGTTCAAATCAAATAACTTTTTAAATCACTTTAAAACTATTTTCTAAATTTTCTCACACCCAATTAAAATAAATTTATATAAATGAACTATAACGACGTTTGAATAAAAGCAATCTTAAAAATAAAATTTATAAATTATGCTTACAGTAGTAATGGAAACGTGTTTGCTTAAAATTATTATTATTATTATTATTTTAAAAGTTAAAACAGCAAAAAAGGAATTTTGTTGGCAAACGCTTTTTGATTTACCATGGACCCCATGTTTGACTGTTTTCAAACAAATGCTGAAAACATTTCTTACTTACATAGGAAGAAAATTAATATTTTTTTCTGATATTTTATTATAAACGTGGGAAACCAAATTTTGGAAAATACCAATAAAAAGAAAGTCATTATAGGTTTATTGCATTTAATTTGCTTAATATTAAAAAAAAAAAAAAAAAACAAATAAAAGCAACAGTTCCAGAAGACTAATCCCACGAGAAACATTATTTTCAACGAAAGGTCAAAACCTTATCCATTAAGAAATGAAACTGAAAGGAATTAAAAAATAAAATAAAAAAGAAGCCGGTTAGACGGCGTTTCCATTCCGTGTAGAAGGCGTGGTGAGAGACAGAGGATTAGACGGTTTTGGGGTCGTGGACTTTGGAAGCAAGCAAAGCCGAAAACCGCCACTGGTCCGAAGAATTGAAAGGAATGGGCAAGGGTGAGGCGGTCATTTGTGAAAAATGTGGATACAAAAAGATTCCAATACTTTGGACTCCCAAGTCCCAGTTGAATTGATTGCGTAGAAGTGCTCGTTAAACTCATTAAAAATGTTTCTCATGGGATGTTTTTGTCTCCATTATATATATATATATTGACAAGTTCTTACAATGAACACACTATTAATGGCCTAAAACAGGTGAGCTGACTGTTGAAATCTTGTCTATCCATCAAATTAACTACAACAGATTTAGATAAGGGTGTAGTGATTGAATTGTTGATTTACGATGAATCATGTCTTTAATTTAGTATATTACTCAATTGTCAAGTAGCTTATAAAAGTGATTTGGAACAATACAAATTACTTCTCGTTGAATTATTATTAGTCACTCACTTGAGAAATGTTGATGCTATTTTGTATTTAATTGTCTATTTTGTCTTTATCATTCAAATTATGCATAAGCCGACAAGACTAAACATGAAACTATACGTCTGAGGTTGGTTTGGCCTATTTAGGCTAAATTGAGACACAGGTAACTTCATATTTTATGTGACTATGGTCCAATCCATTCCAATCCCTCAAATAATTTAAAGATCAGTGTCACCTACCATTCAATTTTGAATGTTTAAATAAATATTGGATGGCCCTATTCTTTGTTATATTCCCATCAAAATTGAAGGCTACACCATGCAGGAATTGGGCCTATTCCATCTGGTTAGTCTTTTTCAAAGCGTCTCATTTTTATAATATGGTATATAATTGACTTGTGACGCTGTATTTTCTTTATTGTATAATTGAAATTAAAAAAGTAATAATAAAAAGAAGAAAGCAACAAAAGGCAGAATAGAGTAAAAAAAAAATAGTAATAATAATCATTAAGTGCTGCATGCACACGTGGCAGAGCGCGTGAGGAGTGCATAATTATGTATTTGTTTATTTAAAAAAAAAAATTAATGGAAGTTTTGGTTGTTTGTTTTGTATGTACCAATCCACCATTGTGCTTTTAATGCTCCAGTACTGCATGCCTCTCTGATTTCTGCTCCTCTGTTCTCTCTCTCTCTCTGTTTCAAAATCATTTCGCAATTTGAATTCCTCTGTTCCATTTGATTTTGAAATGGCGTCGTTGGTGGATTCTTCTAGTTGGAGCCTCGTCGCCGCGAAACCTACGTCTTTCAAGCTCAAGGATTTTCTTCTTCAAGACGATTTCAGCTCTTGCTCCTCTCATGGCTTCCGATCGTTTCCACGAAGCCAATGCTGCACCACAACCGTCCGATTTCTCCTCAACAACGATTTCAAACGGACAGATTCTTCCGTAACTAAATCATTACCTCCTCCAACTGCCTCCACCAGAATCGCTCTCCCCGCGGTCTCCACTTTGCAAAAGGCGTCCAACGCTGTTGTCAGAGCATTTAAGCAGTTTCCGTTGCGCAGGAGTATTTCGCGGAAACTGATTCTCGTATCCTTTTGGAAGAAATCGAATGTCGTTGATTCCAACGCCAAACGCTGGAAATCGTTTCGGGAATTTCTCGATGAGAAAGAACCGCCGTCGTCGTCTGACCACGATCACGCCGATTCCGCCGATTCCTCGGTCATTGCTGTCGCTGCAAGAAACTCGATCTGTAGCTGTAGTAATAGCATCAGTTGGACGGAGAGCGAATTTACATCGGAGATGATTCCGTCGTCTTCGAGCGGTAATTTCGACAGTTGCAGCGAAATCGACGCCGCCAAGGACGATAAGGATTCGCCTGGTAATCTCAGTAATCTCATAGCCAAAACAGATGGCGTAGCTTTGGGAAAAGATTGCATTGAAGAAACAACCGCCGTCGCCGCCACCGCCGCCGCCTACCCGGAGAAAGCCATTAAGGTCAGGATTTCGTTTTCTAATCCCATGCTTCGCGTTCCTTTGATAACCGTCTCTGATAGATTTGCCCAATCCATATCTGCCGTTTATTTTTTTAAAACTCCGTAACTGCTCGGTAAAAAAAAAATTAAAATGTTAGTGTTGTTTAAATAAATGCCTAAATTCTAATACTCAATACTAAATTTCATGAGTAAACTATAATAAGATGGAACTCATATACCATGGGACGTATATTATGATCAGATCATCAATATTTTGTTGTGTTAGAATAGGAGAAAATGAGTACTAGATGGCCAAAGACCATGGGATTGTATTGGATTTGTTGGCAAAATGAAATTCTACAAGATATATGCCCGTACATATCTTTAGACCGCGATGTCATCAACATCCACTAGTAATCATGCTAATAGAACTCCCAACCATGAATGCTTAATCTCTCGGCTTTATTAAGTCACCACACACATGATAATAGGTTCTAATAAGTCAACTTGATTCACGAGTTTTGTTGCACCCAATTGAAAGTTTGTGTAACTCAATGATATATTTTTTGTTGTTAGATGTTGTGGTACTTCAAGTAAATCATCTTGTTTCATTGAGTCACTAGTAGATATGGAACACACACGGAGTAAATTAAAGATAAAGTTGTGGTCCATGTACACAATTTAGGGTAACCCCATTTTGTCAATACTTTGGTATTTATAGTCATTTATTTAAACTACCTCATTGAGAAAATTAATATGTTTTAAAAAATGGGAACCTATGATTTGAAATATTGGTAGAATTAAATTATAGTGTTTGCGTAGATAGACAATAGGTTAAGGGTAAATACAGCTGGATTTTTGGGAGGCCATTAACTTCAAGTGTGGGGTATATCTTAGGAAATGTTAGAATACGACTAAGGGCACATGATCGAGGCCTACGATCTCGCCATGTGTCATAGATTATCGACATCTACGGCTTACAAACTTACAACACCTTTTGATTTCATGGTCCACGCATACTAGATTGCGCCCTCTTCCTCTCTTTTAAATTATTTTTAGTTATTTAGTTTTTGTGGCATTTGAGTTTAATATTATTGGCCTGTCATCTGCTGGCTTTGCATGTGTCGGTAACAAAATCATAGGGATTTTCTTTTTTTGGTTAATGTTTTTATTAAATTATATTAAATTTAAATTACATATTTTTATTGTTTACAGGAAGTAATTATTTATATGAATTTTTAGAAAGTAAATTATATAATAGTAATTAAGAGGGTGTGTGTGTGTGTGTATTTTTTGACATTATAATGAACAGCAATTGGGAAATGAAGAAGAAAAGGAGCAGTGGAGTCCAGTTTCAGTCCTGGATTTTGGTTTGAAGCGATTGGAGAAGGGAGCGGAATTGGAACCTGTAGACTTGAAGAAACGATTCGCTGATTTGGGTTTAATAATATCCACAAAAGAAGGGCAGAGGGAACAGAAGGCATTGGAGCTTGTAAGGCTCGTGAAATCTACGACCAAATCGCAGTGCTTCACGTTGAAAACAGAGAATCTGGTGCTGGATTTGATCCATGAAAAGCTGGAAGAAGAAGAAGAAGATGAATCAAGTGCAAGAGGGTGTGGTTTTGAGGAAGAAAAGGTTGTGAAATTAATAGAAGGTTGGGTGGATGGAGAGGGCGGAGAAATGAGGGTGATGGGATGGGAGTTGGCGGAAGGACGGAGTTTGTACATTAAGGATATGGAGAAGGCGGGAAAGTGGAGGAGTTTGGGCGGAGAAAAGGAGGAATTGGCGGCGGAGGTTGAAACCGAGGTTTGGATCTGTTTGCTTGATGAGCTATTAGTTGGCCTGTCTTAGCTTCTTATTATTATTATTATTACTAAAAAAAAAAAGATGTAAATAATTAGCAGCCAATCAATGTACTTGCATACTTAAAAAAGAAAAGAAAAGAAAAAAAAGATAGGTGGTAATATATACAGTGGAGTGAGCGTAAGGTCGAACGAACGTAAAGGGTATTAGCCAACCAAATATTGAATTCAGATAATAGGAATTGAATTCTTATGATAATACGAATGTCACATGCCATTTGGTTGCTGATTACGAACATACCGGAATGATTATGAACCCTAATATATGTTGAATTTATATATGTTCCTTTTTTTTCTTTTTTTTTTTTATTAATCTCACAATACAATATATGTTGAATGTTTTACTCTACTCATACCTGGGGAGACTGCTTCTGAATGCTTTGCTCCTATCCAGGGATGAAAACAAGTACTCAAAACAATTCCCTTCTTCGCAATATTCCTTACTTGGCTAATGCCATCCAGCTTTATACCAGGAATGCATGGGTGCAACTTTCCCATGAACAACCGCTTTGGTGTTGCCCAACATGGATAAAGCAAGAGAAAGAAGGCGATCATCATTTCATTTATATCTCGATGGTAAAACCTAAAACAGATCTTCGTTAATTAGGATGCTTCGCTTCTTCCATTTCTTTCAAACAATATTATTGTGTTATTATTATTCTTATTATCTGGACAAATTTATAACCGTATTTCGGAACTCTCATTCTTCAACCATTCAGTAATTTAACTCATATTTGTTCATTTACGTTGGTTACATCAATTAGCGTTTGTAGTCCAACGGTTAGGATAATTGCCTTCCAAGCAATAGACCCGGGTTCGACTCCCGGCAAACGCAGTTAAATGAACGTTTTTTTTTTCTTTTAATCCCTTGCCAAATGTTATTTACCAACTCCACTCCAAATGAGTTCATAAATATATTATCTCCATGCTGTCTTTTTCTTATAAAAAGGAAGGGTTTTTTTTTTTTAATTTTTTTTTAGCGAGATTCTTGTGTTTAGGAACAAAAGGCAAAAGGCAACTTTCTATTTCTTGATTATTTTCCTAGATTATTTATATGAAACGCGTACTCAGTCCATGAAACTTGAAGTGAAGAAGAAGAAGTTGAAGTTGAGGGAGTTGTCAAAATTATAGAACATGATATGCTGCCCACACTCTACATAACAACTAACTTTCACTCCTTACACTCAAACATTCACAAATCTCAGCATCATCCGCTGCTTTCCACCTTTCTTTCTATCATTCATGCTTTCCTAAACAATTTTAACAAACAAGTGATAGCGTAAGGGATGGGGTGGTCGGTATATGTGTGCACGATGCCCATCGTATAACTGATTCGGTCACGATCAGATTAAGCTGATCCAGTTCTCCAAGTCCGATTGTATGATTCCTTTTGCTTGGAATATTGGTCCCTCTCGACCCACCCGGTCCTCCCTTTCGAGTTTCTTTCCACTCCATTTCTCCAAACTTGTGCTTGCCTGGATTTGTTGGTTCCAGCAGAACACACAGCTTTCTCTTTATTGGTTCTGCATTTAAGATCATATGGTCCATTGTAAAACTAGAAGGATGGGAACATAAGGAATCGTCTGCTATTAATTAAAGTTCAGAGCTTTCACAAATTTGAACCCCAAGATCCTATAACTATAATCGATCAAATGAAAAGGGTCTGGAACTGAGAAAAACACACCTTCGTGAAGCGAATCTGACAGTGACAAATTTGCTTTGAATCTCATAGAACTGTTTCCTTGATCAATCGTTGAACACGGACTGACGAAGGTAAAGCTGGGAAGCTTTGGAATTGGTGATGAAGACTCGGTGGCTATATCTAATTCAACACAACTGCTGAAAGAAAATCCTCCGGGAACAGAACTCGGCGTGCCACTGTTATCCAAAAGGAAAGAAGAGAATGATGATTTGCATGTGAATACAGGTGAATGTCCCATTTGGTCCTCACAAATCACAGGATTTCCATCACTGAAGCTAAAATCCTGGTTTCTGACCATGAATGGAGCAGGCAACAAACTTATGCTTGCTTCCACCCGTCTGCTATCTCGGGCGTCTAGCTTTTCCTGCTCTTGAGATGCTTGGACAGCATCTTTCATCCATGAGTGAGCTACAAGAAAAATAAATTATGTTTTCTTTTCAGAGAGAAATAAGGAATACCGCACTTTGTTGGCACGTAGTGCACAAACTTATTCCAAAATTAGAAGCCAACACTAAGCCTAGACCATCAATACGAAAGCGCCAACAAACGTAGAATTTTGCATCACAACACACAATAATGAGGTCTGCAATGTTCCCATCCCAAGCCCAGAAAACTGGGCAACGTTACGTACAGCTAGCCTAATCTATGGCTTTTGGGCAGAGCCCTCAAACATGATGTTTGACAATGGTTCAACAGAAGCTGCCTTGAAGACATCCAAGAAAACAATCAATGGGACCTCTTCTCTAAATTCTTGATTGTTGTTTTATTTGGTTATGTAAAAAGCAATTCAGCCAAAAAGAACAACAGGATTACCTAGAACCTCCTTGGCAGTGAGCCGCTTTGAAGGATCGATGCAAAGCATCCTGGTGATTAAGTCCTTTGCAGATGAAGACACCTGATCCCAAAGATTAGAAGGAAAACGTAAATCTGCAGCTCTAACAGCTTCAAAAATTCTTGATTTTGTCTTGCCCCAAAATGGGGGCATCCCACTGAGAAGAATATAAAGGACAACTCCAGAACTCCACACATCCGCAGCTTGGTTATAGCCTCCGGACAGAACTTCTGGGGCGATGTAAAATGGACTCCCCACAGTACCGTGCAAATATTGACCTGTCGTCGGAGGACAAATGCTCGTAAGACATAATTTCGAAGGATGGTTTTTAAGTAAGTTTATGTTAAACACTAATTGGAGAAGAAATTTTGGAGATAAGATTACCAGGTTTGATATAAGTTGCAAGACCAAAATCTGCCAACTTAATTGGAGACGAGGAGGAGGTTGTGGCTAATAGAATGTTTTCTGGCTTCAGATCTCTATGAACCACACCATTCTCATGACAATATTTGACCACTTGAATTAGATGCCTGAAGATAACCCGAGCATCCGATTCCAAGAACCTGCCGTGCTTCTCAAGCTGGTGGAAAAGCTCCCCACCAGCACACAACTCCATTAATAAGTGCACACAATCTTCCTCCTCGTAGACTGCCTTTAGATCTACAACATTTGGATGCCCAGACAATCGAGACATTATTTCAATCTCGAGCTTAACACTGCGCACATCATCAACTGTCATCAATTTATCCTTGGCAATAGACTTGCAAGCTAACATCTCACCAGTCAGCCTATCCGAACACGACCGAATCACACCAAATTGTCCCCAACCCAATCGTTCTCCCAACACATACCGATCTTTTAAATTTGCAACTTGCGTAGTTTCCAAAATCGTTTCACTCAGGCTTGGAACTTTGAAACAGTTGTAGAATTGTATAGACTGCCCAATCTGGTCACTTTCGGTTTCACCGTGGTCCATACTAGGGCCACAAAAGTTCTAATGGCAGAACAGCTATAGTACCTCACTACTATATCCTAACTTATCAGATCACCCTTGATGACGTTTCAGAGACGACATTTCTGAAACGTCTGCCCATGAAAATTACAAAACAAACATAGAACAATGCACATTCATAACCTCATCCTCGTCCAACCAGGTTTAGCACAGCCTACCAAGTTAATTCGCCATATGAAATTCAGGTTCATGTATCATTTTTCAGCTATATGACCTAGCAAGTAGAGCGCAACAACAATTTTCCCATAAAGTTCAGAAATCAAAACAAACAATTCAAACACATCCCATCTTCGAAATTCAACTACTAATCACATACCAAAACTCCAGTCCACAAAAACAGTACGATAATCAAAAGAATCACAAGCCACAGAAACGGAAATTGAAACTTGAAAGCTGAAAAAACACCCACAATCACACACACACACTTCAACTACAGATGAAAATCGAAACGGACCCAAATGCAAACAAGGTCAAATTCGGATCGAGTAAATAAACCACCTATAAACACAACACGATCATAACTCCAGTATGAGAAGAACAAGTTCGAACATAAGAAGAGAAAAAGGGAAGGAAAAAAAACACCATAAAGAAGAAAGAGAGGGCGTGGGCGTACCGGAAGATTCATCGGAGCTCGATTATTTCACCCCCTTATCAAATGACTGAAACGGAACAAGAATCAGAGTTCAGAAACCAAAAACTCAGTGACGAAGAAAGGAAAGTGAAGAAACCAAGAGAAGGGGGTCGTCGAAACGCCATCGGGAACAAGTCCAGTCCATTAAACCTGCATCGTTCAAACCCAGTCGTCATTTTCCCACTATTTCAAAAAGGCTCTTCTTCCCTTTGCCTCCTTCGTGACCGTCTACCGGCTGGACCCGACTCCATTCCCCCCACTTAAAATTAATCATTTAATTATTAACAATAATCGTAGTTAAGAAAAACATATCCAATCACGCCACAAAAGCTTAACACGTGTCATCTAACCGTTCTTTATCCATATAAATAAGCTTGCTATAATTACGGTTTTGTCCCCCCACATGAACATGTTCTCAAACGATGGCCTACAACTGGAAACAACGTTACTTTATTCATGTATGAACATCATCCCTCCCTTTAAATTCAACCACTTTTTTTTTATATATAAATATATAATTTTTTCCCCATATATTTATATCTCAATTTTAATTAAGCAAATTAATATCTTATGACTTTTTTCTTTCTTTTTTGCATTTTCAAATTCTTAATTTCGATTGTGGATAATTTTATTGATAAGATTTCAGATTTATGATTAATTATCTAAATTTCGAGTATTTATCAGTTTTACTATTTATTTAAATATATAGGGTAAAAATAAATAATATGTTATTTTAAAAATAAAAATATTGGTATTTTATACTTTCAGTGTTATGAGATTAAAAGAGATATATAATAGACACGTGTCATGACCAATCCAATTGAAAAGGAAATGATGTATGTTTCTGAAATCAATAATAATTATCTTGAAATAGAAAATTTTTGTCCGTACAAAGTTAAACATTGTCTGATTTTTTTATGGTAAGACTTTAAAACAGAATACGTTTGGATTATCTTATTTTTTGATATAAAGAGAAAAAATGCATATTCTCATGTGATTGAAATTCGATTTTGTTTCCAAATATGTCCGAATTTCCAAAAATATTTTTTAAAAAATAAGGAATATAAAGTAGAGAATGAATGGAGTTTGTTGACTCCCAATTAAACTACTCCCATTTACTTAATTATAGATTATATCAAACAACGTGACAAAATCAATAAATATTTTATTAACATGTTGAGTTAATATTAAAAATAATATCGAATTGATCTACTATAAAAAAAAAAATTAAATTAATAAGTTGAGTTCGCAATAAAAATATGAAATAACATTAAAAGGAAGATTTTGGGTTTAATGTGTCAACTAAATACAAATTTATTTGTTTCACGGGTCATGAGTTGACCAAAATCCAATATTATAAGATAATCATTGACTTTATTTTTTCATTAATTTTTTACCTTTACGAATGTAAATTTATCGAAGAAAAAAAAAATATATTTGGGTTTATAATGAACGAGAGAATCGTTGCTTTTTGAACCTTGTAAGAGATTTAGAAGGCCCAATACGTGGTGGCCCAATATACAGGAAACTAAAAGTTGAGTTGGGCCCTTGATATCCTAAATCTTCCAGGGCCCAGAAAGCTGGAGGGTTGAAAAGAAAACGTGTTTGGGCAATCATTTAAATCCCGATATTGGTGGAGCACGTGAGATGCTGTGCAATTATGCATACCTCTCTTTTCACATGCTTTGTTTCTCCTTAAATTATAATGCCACGCTCTACTTCGCCAAACAACTATTCAAACTGTACTAACTCTCATCTTTCTTTTTACTCTATTTGTTCTCTTCAACAAAAATCTCACTATATACTTTTTTAAAAGTTAAAATTCGCCGTAAATGTATGAAATTAGTGCTTGTCACACCTCGTGTCCAAATTTTAGATTAGGATTTAGAATTAGGATTAGGCACTTGATGACTCCGACATTCCTTTGCATTACCTGCAACATAGTCACATTACTTACTTTTTGCTTATAAGTGTAAACACTGTGTACTTAACTATGAAATTTTCATTATGTGCATCTTATTGATACAAGTACTGAGTTTCATTTTCTAAAATAAATACAAATAAATCAAAATGCGGGTTAGCGATCCGATGATTGATTAACCTAGGTGGAGGGATTGGGTGGCAGGTGGGAAACTTTGTCATCCACATGTAGGAATTGGCCCGCATTCTTACAATTATTTTTGCCTTATGATTTACACCTCCCTCTTCTATTCATATCTTTCTTCTCTATATTCACTCTTTTCAAAGCCAAATTTGAATTTAAGTCCAATTTTGTTTTTCCTTTAATTATGTCATTATCAACAATGTGTATTTATGTGGACAATATTAGAGTGAAAAAAAAATGTCTGAACTTGAGTAAAAAAGTGAAGTTATTTTTTTTCAAAATAAATAAATATATATTTAAAGAAATAATTAGGGTGAAGATAAAAGAAGAGGAGCAAAAAGTGGATCAGTACATGTTCTTTTATTCTGTTTCTTTCTGCGATTCTTTTATTCTGGTTCTTACGACTTGTGATGGTCTTTTGCCCATCTTCTTCCCTTTTTCCTTTTTCACAATAGATTGTGGTTAGTTGGTGCTTTGTTTATCTGTCTTCCAATTTTTAATATTAAATAAATAGAGCTGCTACGCCCCTCCCGCGTGGCATATTGTCCTACGCCGTGTTCGATAAAAACGAATCGTTTCGGTACAGGTGTCTTCTGTGGTCCACCATTCACAGATCTCACTTTGCGGTGGCTTTCCACATGGTCAACTTCGATCGGCCACCTGTCTTCCACGTATGATCCTACGAACTCGCATATTTGTCGCCATGTGATTCTCTAGATCCTCTCTCTCTCTCTCTCTTCAGCTTTTTAATTTTCTTTTTAGCAAAAAAAAAAAAAAAAAAACTGTTTTTAAAGTATAAGAATTAAAGTGACATTGTAATATATAATTTTTTTAATTGTTATTGTAATATTTAATTCATCGCTACCCTATACACTCCTCACCTTGACATATATGAAAAATAAATATATTTCCTAATTTAAAAAGTAAGATTGATGAAAATTTTAATGACAATAATGATATGTAATATGTAAGGTATATAAAAATGATTGAGAATAATGAAATTATTGCTTATTAAGAAAGAAGAAAAAAAAAAAAGGAAAATAATAGGTTTTTATGTAGAGAAAATTTGAATTATTCGAATAATAGATTAAAATATAGATAAATAAGACGGTAAAGAGTATGAGATGAATATTAACATTATTTCCAATATAAATACTTTTGCCAAAATTGCATTGACAGTTCATACGAAGCATATAATAAAATTGAGTTTTGGATTTATAAATGAATAATACATTAAGCAATTAAATAAAAAGAAAGACGAAGGCGTTAATTAAAAATAAAATTGGTTTGCGGTGGATTGTGACTGAACTGGAGAAAGGAATTGAGATGGCGCTGACAATAGAATAAAAAATAATTTTGTGAGGGGTACTTCTCATATTTAATGCCAAAGAGACAATACAAATATTCATAAATACGGTGGCGCCCATCTTTCTTCGAGAACTAATAATTAAATTATATTATATTTTCTAGTTAATACTTAAATTATAAATCGCTACCTACTACTAGTATCCAATCCAATGATTATATAAGCGACTGTTCATCGAGGGAATTCGAATTAAATAAAATAGAACGATATATTTGAAACATGTTTAATTTTAACTATTTTATAAAATATTTGAATTTAAAAATAAAATAAAATAAAAATCCAAAAACGTGGTAGTAAATAAAGTGAATTGACTCACTGTTGCACTATCGGCCAACAAAATATGTGGTCACCAAAATGATCCGTCCATAATGGAGGCTTCCAATTCATTATTTGTAGGGCCGAAGTGATGGGAAAATATTATGGAATAAAATTAACATATTGGTACTTGACCTGGCTGTCAAAATATAATACTATTTAATTTTTTTAATTAATTAATTAATTAATTATATATATATATTTCTATATAATAACTTAACACAAAGAGAGTGATAGCGACTTCTTGCAAGTTGTGGATTTGGATTTATTTTTTTAAAAAAATAACCCAATTGCAAACAGTGTTTTCATTGCAAAACTGGTGTATTTTGTTGAAAAAAATTCGGGAAATTTTCATAATATACGATGTTAATAAAAAATATGAAGGTTTTTAAATTAAAGAAATACAAATTTTAGTTATTTTTACAATAAAGTGACAGATGTTAGTAAATCCAAATAAAAAATAATCCCAATTATTTACCGGTCAATCCATAATTGACCTAAGTTGTAATGATTCATGTAATGATATAAATAATTGGTTGAAAATTTTAGGAGTTCTCGTGCACGTTTATGATCAATAAACAAATAAAAATAAGAACCGTGAGTTTACAAATCGGTATAAGTAGAGACTAGATTCGTGGCGCCTAATTATTTCTGACGGAAGAAGCCACCGCCGTGACACCCAGAGCATACCATCCCCATCCCGGTGGTTTTCTTTTTCCGAGAATTTCTCCTCTTGATTCGCCATTTTCCTCAAATTTCTGTATCGCCGGAAACTAAAGAGTATCAAAACTAAATCAAGTCTATTCGAAAAGGATCCTGTTCTGCGATTTTGGGCTTTTGTTTCTCGATCCATCTTTCAGGTATGCGTTTCGTCCTTTGCCGCCATTACCTCCTTTTGCTTGCTTCTGGATATTATTTTATTTTCTTTCTACGAAACGCCTCTTGATTTTGTTTTGTTTCCATTTGTAGAAGTTCGTTGACGGTCATACAAGCTTCCATTTCGTCTGAAGCAGTTTCTGAATCCGAGTTCTAGAGATTTTTATCTCTCTCCGGTATGGCTTCTCTCGCTTTCTCTCTTTTCTTTTACTTTTATTTGTAACAATATCTCGTCAGAGCTCGTGGAATGTTTGATTGCTGATAACTTGCAAGGCGAAAGTAGAAAACCAATTTCGCTGTAGGTGCGGTGTTCACCTTTCTCTTCCCCCCCTCATTTCGTCGGTTTGAGTACTCTGTTATTGTTGTTAATGAACGAGCCTGCACCTTCTAGTGTTTTGGCAACGAAAAGTAATGTTGATTGGATTTCTCTTCCATACTATCAATCGAAATGAACGAGAACTTCTTTAGGAGCTCTGTCTAGGAATATGAGCTAGTAAGTAAACGCATCTACAATCATGTATTTCAACCTTTTCCCCTGTTACTTGATGATAAAATTTTGTATTTGTATAATTA